TATCCTGCAGACCTGCTTTCTAAGAGTGTAAGAATATGTATCTTTTTTTTCTTTAGGTAATGTGCTTGCCGTCATCATTCTGTAAGAGAGTTAGGATGAGACTTCCCATAAGTAACTATCATTCCTTTTCTCTGAAAACCCCAGTAATTTCTTCTCCAGAGAGCAAAGCCCAAGATACACATGGCCATAAATAGGCTGTTCACCTCTCCCTGGGAGCAAGTGGTTGAAGCTCAGACAGTACAAAAATATTATGACTGCCTTGGGGCATAAAGGGAAGAAGCCAGCTGGGAGTTAGGTAAACCCATGCCGGGGGCTGAATGGGCAGGTTGTCTGAGCACCGCTGCGTTCCCACCGTTCCTGTATGGCTCCAAATAAAGGTCTTCAGTGTCCTCTCCTCACCACAGGGTAGGGAATTAGGGAGTATCCTCTGTCTCACCTCCTGCAGTTCCCAGAGCAATTTGGATTCACATCTGCTGTTACCATTGTGGTCCCCCCGTCTCAACACTGTGTCACTGTGTTCCTGGGTAGACCAAAGGGAGGGTAGTGGCAGCCAGCAGGATAACTCCTCTTTTCACTTTTTCTGTTATACAGGGTCCTAGCAATGGACTGCAGACTCTAGAATAAACCCTAATTCAGTACCAGTGAATAAATGAAACTGAGCCAGGCACTTCTCTTTAATAGGCTTCAATTTCCTCATCTCTTAAATAAAGTTAGCAACAATGACTAACCTCATAAAAAGGAAAGATAAGTCATCTCTTTTCATGGTTGTCCTATCTGAAAGGGGCCAGGTTTCTTAAGAACAGGGACCATGTCTTATGCAGATCCGCATTTAATACATGAATGAGAAGTATTGTCATCTCCAGTTTATAGCTAACAAACTAAAATTCTCCTCTCTCGGGCCTTGATCTTCAGCCACTATCTGCTTATGCAGTCATCAAACACCCAAAGAAAGAAGTGGACAGAGTATTTTTATGCACCGCCCCCTCCCCGCTTTCTCATAGCGGTGGTTTTTAAGTGAAATGGATTGTGTGAGTCAATGGGAAGACCCACTCCATTCTTGTCTTTGGGGTAATTGTGGCAAAAATTAGTTGTGGTTTTCTCAACACATGCCCACAGTGGAAGGGGACTTATCCTCATTGTCAATCATCTCAGGCCATGACTCATGTTTTTCCAGAAACTTCCATTGTATCATACTAAGGCTTGCTGAAGTCACCTGTGCCATAGCTGACAGACAAGTGTATGAATCAAAACAGAGATTCACACGAAGGGAAGGGGATCCTGAAGCAATGCTTGGGCTTGCCTTAGTCCAAAGCAGATAAGGTCGTTATAGCCATGAAGTGTGATTAAGAACGAAACCTTGAAGGGGTTCCTGTCACCCCCAAGACACTAAAAATTCCTCTCCTCATTGATAACCAAAATGAATGGCAACTTACCTAATAACAGGGCTGAGAATAGCCTTCACTTTGACACTGTCCTCACGTGGGTCTCAAACTTGATCAGCCTCGAGTGTCCTTGTTCCAGTTGTTTCTTTTTGTCCCTTTGTCCCGCTCCTGTTCAGACATGCAACCTACTCTCCTTTCTTTTTAAAGTTCCCACTGTCAACTCTATCATCCAGGGCTGTTCCCACCCACGGCTTATAGCCTGCCTGAGAAGTAGGGCACATTCTTGCCAGCTTCCCACTTCACTACAAAACCTCCTCGGTCTAGATTGTGTGTTGCCACTCCAAAATGAAGAACAACAAAAATAACAAATATGAAGTACATTGCTGAGAAATCTAGAAACCTTGCAAAGACATTGTTCTGGCCTGTCGCACCTGAGGCTGAGTCCTTGGTGCTCCTATACTCCTGAGTGGAGAGACCAGCCAAGCCTTTACCTCCCTCAGTCCCTCGGCTCTCCCCAGCCCCCGCTCATTGTAAAGGTACAATAGAATTGAACAAAAGATGCTTCATTCATTCTTTCAGCATATGTTTATTGAGTGCCCACCAGATCCTAGGCACTGTTGCAGGGAATATGGCAGTGATTGTGATCTTTACTCTTACGGTGGTTATAGCCAAGGGAATAAAAAGAGGTCCTAGACAAGCAAATTAACAAGTAAACCAATAATCAATCAGTGATGAATAGGGGCTGAGATGAAGGGTGGCAAGAGGGGGCCTCTGAGGTGTGCCATTTGAACTGAAAACTGAAAGATGAGAAGGGATCTGTCCTGCAGAACAGTGTAGGAGAGCCAGGCGGAGGGAATGTCAGGTGCAGGGAAGAGCTGGGGTGTATTTGAGAAGTAGAAAGGAGGCCAGTGTGGCAGCAAAGTGTGCAAGGGGACAGTGACACTGATGAAGCTGAAGGGATGAGACGGGGCCAGGAACTCCAGGGTTTAGGGGTTTATAGTAACGAGCTTGTTTTGATCATAGATGCCAGGAGTTTCACCTGGTGGAGGAACATGATCTGATCAATCTGTTTTGAAGAAACACTGTGGCAGAGTGTGAAAAATGTAGGTGCTTGGTCACTTTTTCAAAAAGTGTGCACTGATAGGCCAGTTGGTATCACCTTGTCTTCAGTCGGTGATTTACAGCTAAAGGGAAAGGCGATACCCACCTCCTCACCAACAGGGCCTCCTGGAGGTATTGGAGGGGATCCAGGCCTGCTCCCCAGCCTGTGTGGGGAGTCCACTCTTTCCAGGGCCAGGAGTGCAGGAAATAGGGAAGCAAGATCTAGGCTCTGGGGCGGAAGAGGGCATTGGAAGGCACCAAAAGCCAGAGCAGTCAGTGAAGACATATGGACAATCTTTTCACACTACCGGGACATGAAGCTTGGATGCTTGGAATCTCCCTTCTTGACAGTTCTGAGATGGGCTTTCTAACCTACTTCCTATATCTAGCTTTCTTCTCCTAATAACCCTTATGGTTGAAGAGAAATCTCTAGACACCACTTTCTTAAGGTACCCAAGGCTTGGGAAGTTAAGAGTGATGGGGACAGAGTAAAATATCCAAAATGTTTCTTGTATCAGTAGTAGAGATTCCAAGAGGTGTGTAACTGAGTGTGACTAACAGGAGTCTGGATGAGACTGGCAGGGTGATTGTCCTGGCCAGCATGCTCTTCCCAGCATCAGGCTCCAGGCAGCGCTTGGTGCATTGAGGAGTTCTATCTGCACAATCTGCTCAGAAATACTATTATACAGCAGGACGTGGTGGCTCGTGCCTATAATCCCAGCACTTTGGGAGGCCGAGGTGGGCAGATCGCTTGAGGTCAGGAGTTCAAGACCAGCCTGGCCAACATGGTGAAACCCTATCTCTACTAAAAATACAAAAATTAGCCAGGTGCAGTGGTATGTGCCTGTAATCCCAGCTACTCAAAAGACTGAGGCAGGAGAATTGCTTGAATTTGGGAGGCAGAGGTTGCAGTGAGCCAAGATCGTGCCACTGTACTCCAGCCTGGGTGACAGTGAGACTCCATCTCAAACAAAAAAAAAAAAAAAAGAAAAAGAAAAAGAAATACTATTATACAAGAAGTGTCTGGGCAGGTACCCCCTCCCCACCAGCTCCTGACATCTTTTGACAGTGCTTTTGCCATTCACAAGCATAGAGAGGCTGGAAAGCCTCCAAAGGAAAGCTAAACAGGAAGCATATCATTTCCAAGGAGCCAACAGATCACTTTCAATCGGAACTCTTAGCTCTAGTAACATTTGCAAGGCAATTCTCAAATAAGCACTCTCCCTCATCAACCAAGCTCTGCTGGGAGGATTGACTCTCACAGCCTCACCTGGCAAAGCTACACAGAAGACTACTAAGTCCACGTCCCTAGGCTGAATCCTCTCAGGACTCCAGAATCCAATTTTCAGTTGCCAGCCTGTTATTTCCTGGATACCCTACCAGTGCCTTAAGTCAATGGCTCCCAAACCAATTCATCATCTTCTCTTCTCCTGGCTTTCCTGTTTCTGTTGATGGCATCACTGTTCCCTCTGCTACCCTGGCTGGAAACGTCTGAGTGAGTCATCCTTGACTCATCCTTCTCTCTTATTCTCCGTATCAAATCAACTGCCGAGTTCTGTAGTATCTGTTTCCATGATGTCACTTGAATCTGTCCCCTCTTTCCTATTGACACCATCCCTCTTCAGTGTGGGCTGTCATTACTTCCCTCGCCACAGGATCATCCTAACTTATTCCCTCACCATTAACCCACCTTCATACTGCCGCTGACTTAAGCCTCCTCCAACACAGATCTAATCGCATCATGCTGTTGCCAGCAGCCTGCCATGGATCCTCACTGCTGCCACACTAAATATAAACCATCTTTCAGCTTTATAAGTCACAATTCCTTTTGCAATACATGGTGTTCAAGCTAACCATACTCATCACTGATGCGGCATATGACTTTTGTCCTTTCAGGAACCCCCTTAATATTTAAATCAGCTGCAAAGGATGATAAGATCTTGTATTACTAAGTTTGGCATTCTATGCATTTATATGCTTGTTCTATCCACTTAGAAGATTTGACATTCCTGTATTCTTTATCTCACTTTTATTTTTGCTTCCTCTACTATTTGGGCCTTTCTATGTACCAAGCGTTGTTCTAAAAGCTTATTTACATGTAGGAAATAATTTCACTCTTCTAACAATTCCTATTGTATCCTCACTTTACCAATGACAAAACTGTGAGGCTCAGAAGTTAACTTGCTGAGGTTCCATAACTAAGAAGTAGCAGAGCCAGGATGCAAAGTCACATGATCTGGCCCCAGAGCCCATGCTCTTAACCACTGAACCCATATTGGTCTTTGTTACTTGTGTTATCTGTATTATGGTTCGGATTTAACTGGTGTTTTGTAATTGAATTGAAGCTTTAGGCGTGTGTCCATTAATAGCCAGAAATATCAATGGTAGGCGGAGGGTGCAAATGTAACTTGATAGCAGAAGCTGATTTTAGTTGCTTCCCCGAAAGTCATTGTGAAGCTAAGAGACAGCTTCTTGGAATTTTTGTCCTACTTCTTCTTTTTTTTCTTCTCATTCTAGTACATGGGCTGCATTGAAGTGCTGCAATCAATGAGGTCACTGGATTTTGGAATGAGAACCCAAGTTACAAGGTAAGAAGCCAAAAATGGGAGGGGCTTTGAGGAGTATGGTTTAAAGTCACAATAATTTCTCCCACGGGAATTTCATGCAAACCTTCCAAGTCATTAGACACTTTTATTCATGTGACTGGAGCGTAGAAGTTTCGTCCAGTGACCTTCAATGAGTGGCTTGATCTCATTGTGCGAAAGATTTCTCAAGGGTGTGGCAGTGCATCTGTGTTTCATGTAAGGGCGATTAAAATGATACAGTCTACAGAAATAGCTGGTTTCCCAGGTACCAAGATTATTTAAAATTATGCCTGGCAGGAAGCATTTACAGAATCAGACCTGTCAAGGAGGTAGCAGAAAACCAGACCAAGTAAGACTTTCAACATGAGAAAGCCCAAGCTTTGCCCAAGCTCTTCCTGACGTGAGAACCTGCTTATTCCTTGTCTGGGTCTCCCTCCTCTGTGTACAGTGAGCCAAATGGAACAGTGGAACTGGGGAAGCTTTACCCAGGGTGACCCCAGGGAACTTAGGGGAAGAAATCAGAATCCTTGTTATGTGGAGCTCAAGTCAGAAGCAGAAATACATGGCATGGTTCATTAAAGCTAAGCCCAAAGCAAGGATGGAAAGAAGGAGTGAGTGCAGACTGGCAACTGGAAAAATGTGAGGTGAGGGAGATGAGGTAAGAGGACTGGGTCGATACGAATGGTTCAGAACAAAGACTTGGGCATCCATTGGATGTGGTGCCAAGGTGTGTCTCAGGGACATGCCACATTAGATCCGTGCTTGCAGGCCTCCTGTTCTGAAGGTGAATGTTGTCATGTAGAAAATAACTCTCCCTAATGCTCATCTCATGAAATTCTAGGCCTAGAAAAAGAAGTGTCCTGTGGTCCAAAAATTTAGGGAAAGGAGCCACATCACTCTTTAGGAGACTACAGTATACAATAGTATATTGAAGACTCTGAGCCCGGTGCAGTGGCTCACGCTTGTAATTCCTGCAACTCAAGAGGCCGAGGTTGGAGGATTGCTTGAGACCAGGAGTTCAAGACCAGCTGGGGCAACATAGTGAGGCTCCATCTCTACAAAAGTAAAAAGAACATAGCCAGGCACGTTAGCATATGCCAGTAGCCCCAGCTACTCAGGAGGCTGAGGCTGGAGGATCACTTGAGCCCAGGAGTTCAAGGCTTCAGTCAGATATGATTGTGCCACTACACTCCTGTGTGGGTAACAGCAAGACCCTGACTCTTAAAAAAAAAAAAGACTGAGAAGTCCTATGCTGCTGTAGTTGAAAAAAACTCTACCCCTCAAAATTTTCTTTTTCTTCTCTCTTTTTTTTTTTTTTTTTTTTGAAATGGAGTCTTGCTCTGTCTCCCAGGCTAGAATACAGTGATGCAATCTCGGCCTACTGCAACCTCCGCCTCCTAGGTTCAAGCAATTCTCCTGTAGTGCCCAAGTAGCTGGGACTACAGGCGCATGCCACCATGCCCAGCTAATTTAGTATTTTTAGTAGAGATGGGATTTCCCTATGTTGACCAGGCTGGTCTTGAACTCCTGACCTCAGGTGATCCACCTGCCTTGGAATCCCAAAGTTCTGGGATTAAGGCATGAGGCACCGCTCATGGCCTTACTTCAAGATTTTCTAAATGTATTGGGCCTAGGATCCTTTTCTCATATAAAAGAAATGTACATCCAAGGGTTCCGTGAAATGTGCCTTAGGAAATGCTGATTTGGACTCTCTGCCTTATGATGCATTCAAATCTGCCTTTCCAAACCTCTCTCAACCTATCCTTCGTATTTCCTCTGGAGTCAAACATATTATATAATCCTGTGTTTAGTACTCTTGGTACCTACATCAGTCACTGGCACATGGCAGGGGCTCAGTGGATATTTATTGAATAAATTCATGGTTCCACCTGACTACACTTCCAGTATTTGCAAACAGCTACATTTATTCTCCTCTTTAAATCTTCTCTTACACATTCTCAGTACCTTCAATTACTCTTCAAATGACATGGTATCTAGACTACTTTCCAAACTGTTAGCCTGTTGGTGGATGTATTTCAGGGTTTACTCCATTTTGATGATTCTTAATCTTGAGACAATTTTTCTTCCAATCCTGAGCAGGCTACAGATGAGAGAAAGAGGGCTGATACCCTAGGTGGGCACAGGACAAAAGAATTCTCACTGTCCTAACCTGAGAGCTATGGTCTGAATATGTCCCCTCAACATTTATATATTGAAACTTAATTCCCAGTGTGAAAGTATTAAGAGGCAGGGCCTTTAGGAGGAGATTAATTCATTGGCCAGAGACCTCATGAGTGGGATTAGTTATCTTATAAAAGAGGTGCAAGGGAGCTGTTTGCACCTTCTACCACGTGAGGATGCAGCAAGAAGCACCCATCTAAGAAGCATTGTGAGCCTTCATCAGACACCAGATCTACTGGTGCCTTGATCTTGGACTTCTCAGCCTCAAGAAGTGTAAGAAATACATTTCTATTATTTACACATTATCCAGTCTGGGGTATTTTGTTTTAGCAGCAGGAATAGACTAAGACACTGAGGATGACTAATTTTCTGTTCATTCACCCATTCATTCATTGATTCTTTCTCTTTCACTCGAATGTTTATGGAGTACCCAAAAAGTGCCTGAAACTCTTCAAGCATTAAAGATCAAGCAGTGAATAAGACAAAGCCTCTACCCTCATGGAATTTGCATTGTTACTGGGGAAACAGACTATAGGCAAGGAAACAGATAAATAAGCAATATACTTTCAGGTAGGAAGAAGTGCTTATTTACTGCAACAATAAAGCAGGAAATGAGGATAGAGATTTAGGTGGTGGGTTTTTAAATTTTATTTTATTTTCTAGTTATAAAATATTGCATGTTTACTTAGACGATTTGGAAAGTACAGAAAAGTATGAAAGAGAAAATTACTCAGAATCTTTCCTAAAGAGTGTGTTTATTAACATTCTGTGTTTGAAATCCCTTTCCAGTATTTTTTTCTACACATGAGCTTACAAAGAATTTTACACAAAATCTGAACAACATTATATACTAAGTCTCCCATATTGAGCAATTTCCTGTTACTAAAGATTCTAAAGCATGTTTTACCATGGTAAAATATACATAACAAGATTTACAATTTTAATCGTTTATAAGTGTATAGTTCAGTGGCATTAAGCACATTCACATTGTTGTGCAACTATCGACACCATCCATCTGCAGAACTTTTTCATCTTCCCAAAGATGAAAAACTGTACACATTAAACTCTGTACCCATTAAACAGTAACTTCTGGCTGGGCGCAGTGGCTCACGCCTGCAATCCCAGCACTTTGGGAGGCGGAGGCAGATGGATCACTTGAGGTCAGGAGTTCGAGGCCACCTGACCAACATGGTGAAACCCCGTCTCTACTAAAAAAAATACAAAGATAGCCAGACCTTGTGGCACACACCTGTAATCCCAATTACTTGGGAGGCTGAGGCAAGAGAATTGCTTGAACCTGGGAGGTGGAGGTTGCAGTGAGCCAAGATCACGCCATTGCACTCCAGAATGGGCAACAAGAGCAAAAAATCCATCTCAAAACAAAACAAGACAAAACCCTGATAACTTCCCATTTCCTCTTCCTCCCCAGCTCCTGGCAACCACTGTTCAACTTTTTGTGTCTGTGAATTTGACTGGTCTAGGTACCTTATAAAAGTGGAAACATACAGTATTTCTCCTTTTCTGTCTGGCTTATTTCCTTTAGCACAATGTGTTCAAGATTAATTCATGTTGTAGCATGTGCCAGAATTTCATTCCTTTTTAAGGCTCAATACTACTCTATTGTATGTCTGTACTACATTTTGTCTATTCACCCATCAGTCGATAGACATATGGGTTGTTTTTCTAAAATTTTAATGACTGCATAACATTCTCTCCTCCTCTTCCTCCTTCTCCTCCTCCTCCTCCTTCTTCCTCTTCTTCTTTTTCTTCTTCTTCCTCTTCTTTCTGTATAGAGACAGGGTCTCAATATGTTGGCCAGGCTGATCTTGAACTTCTGGGCTCAGGGGATCCTCCCACCTCAGCCTTCCAAAGTGCTAGGATTATAGGCATGATCCACCGTGTCTGGCCTCTCCTACTTTTCATCATTATAAGTAAATTCTAGAATTAGGATCACTAGGTCGAGCAATATAAATGTTTTAAAGGTTTTTGATATGTATTGCTGGATGGCTCTGCAGACTATTTGTACTAATTGATACCCCCTTTTCCCAGGCATTTATCTATTTTTATCTACTTAATAAAATCTCTGTAAACTTCTAAGTCTATATTTCCCTATTATTTCATAAATAGTAAAAGGTGGACTGTTTTTTTCCTGTCTGCTATGAGGATTCAGTTTATGTTTAATGTACACAGCCAGGTGAAGATGTCTGGTATGGTATCCGGATATTGTTTCTTGTAGATGTGTCTATACATGATTCAGGCATGGCTGATTGTGTTCTGAGCAGTTATGGAAGCTCGAGGGTGGTGGTCTTTTATTTTTAGATTTGGTGGTCAGGAAGTCCTATCTAAGAAGAGGACATTTGAGCTAAGGCCTGAATAAAGTAAGGGATCCAGCCATGAAAGTGTCTGAGAGAAGAGAGCTGAAGGTGGAGGGAAGATGGCCATGGACATCATGGGTCCATGGTGGCAACATTCGGGCAGGGAGTTTGATAAAAATGTGAGAGAGGTCAGGCACAGTGGCTTACACCTATAGTCCCAGCACTTTGGGAGTCCAAAGTGAGAGACCACTTGAGTCTTAGAATTTGAGATCAGCATGAGCAACATAGTGAAATCCCATCTCTACCAAAAATAAAGAACAGTAGCGCAAGCCTGTAGTCCCAGATATGCGATAGGCCAAGGTGGGAGGATCACCTGAGCCTGGAAGGTCAAAGTTGCAGTGAATTGTGACCACACCACGGTGGTCTTGCTCCAGCCTCGGCAACAGAGAAAGACTCCATCTCTAAAAAAAAAAAAAAAAAAAAAAGATTAGAATAAATTTTTAAAAG